ACCCGGGGCATGGAGCCGGCGGGCCCGGCGCCCCGCGGCGCCGTCAGGGAGCTGAGGTGAGCGGCTGGAGGTGGAGGGGCGTGAGGCGCGGGTCTGAGGGCGGCTTTTCGGAGAACGGGAGAAAAGTGGCTAAGTCGTTACGTAATTTAGCTCAGAATTAGCAAAACTTGTGTTTCTGCTTAGTAGCGGGGAGTTACACTAATTGGCGAGGTTACGTCGTGGTAGGAAATAGAGGAGAAAAGCTGATTTTCTGATTTGAAAGCGTCGCTGCTGAAGTCGTTTCAGGGAGGCTTATCGAGTATTGTTCGGGTCCTTAGGACTTTCCCGAGACCTACTTACATGTAACGAGGGCAAGATCCACAGCGCTTGCTATTAATATATCTAGAGTCTCAAACGTGTTGATTTTTGTGCGGAGGAAGGAACTTGAATGAATCTTTGGTTTCTGCTCTTACGGTGTTTTTACACTGTGTCTTCGCGATGTGATTTCTGTGGTGATAAGTTGCGGTGTCTTGCACTGTGGGCTTGGCTCGCTAGAGAAATCTACTCAAAGGGTGGTTAAGTAGCTGTCTGAAACAGGAAAATTTAAAAAAAAAAAACCCAATCCAACGAACGCTAACATTTGCTCAAAGATCTCAAAAGTCATGGCAGTATTATAAATACTATGGCCCTAAAAAATTCTCAGCTATCGAATCATTTCAGGACTTAGTGATGCTAAACAATGTCTTCAGTAGTTTGCTTGTATTTAGGAATGTTTGTAGGAGGGATACTTGAGACTGTACTCTAGTGGTACTGAAAGCTTCCAGAATAGTTTGAGCAGTGTCCTGCTCCCTTTGGTAAAGGCTGTCTTTGTGGCATCAGATGAAAATTGGTGTCACTGATTTTCCCTGCTTGCTGTGGGCAGTACTTGTACGGCCTGGTGAGGGAGTCGGGAGCATCAGTAGACCTTCGGGACTGCATAGTGCTGTAGGTTATTTGCTTTGCAGATGCACATATGTTCCTCGCTTCTAAGTTTTTCCTGCAGACATGGTCATAACCTGCAGTGAAACTGAATTCTTGATGTTCTTGACATTTTTACTTTGGTGTAAATTCTAGCATTGCAGTCTTTCCTGTGTTCTTATCAGTAGAGTGAATACTGGGCACTTTGAGGAATTTAATTTCTGTCAGTCATGACTGATGACTTCAATATTATTTCAGTTTTGTTTAGTCAGATAATTGTCTTACGAATTAGTAACTGGAGAGTGTTCCCAAGTGATACATCTCTGATGCTAGAATTAGATCTGCAGCATACATACTCTTTTTTATTTATTTAATAGCTTTTGGCTGACTTCAGTGTACTCTTACAAAGAGAAACTATTGGTGGATCATTTTAATCTGGTATGCAAGGTCACTTTCCAGCTCTTCCACATACATTTTGTGTCACCTTCAGCAAGCAGTTGATTGGGGATAAAAATATGGCCCTAACAGTGGGTGTGTTGGCAGGATTCACTATTTAACTGTCAGTGTTTATAAGGTCCTTATAGGACCCTAAAATGAATGGAAAATTAACAGCCTGTTATATTTTAAGTCTGCCTGACCTGTAACGAGACTGACAGTAAAGTAAATCCCTTTTTAGAAGCTCTGATACTGAAATTACCATCTTACAAAGAAACAATAGGCAAGTCCTATGACATGTAACTGTTTCTGACAGTGCTCGAGAGGAGCACCGGCTTTGCTTAGTTGTGGTCAAAATGGTGTATTTGTGTGTTTGGGAGCTGGAGATTATGTTCCTACTAGCCTACAGATAGAGGCACATGATTGATTCAAATCAACAATAAATTCTTTTAGATCTTGAGCTTATAGAATTAACCACATTAAATCTATTATGAAGAAACAATTCACTGTGTGAGGTAGGATGGGATTGCAGCTTTTGTAACAACCCGGTGAATGTGGTGGTAACGCTACAGGTTTTTTTCAGCGTTGCTGCATCTACATTTGTCTTTTTGTGTTGCTGAAGCAATGCTGATTTTCCAACGAGTGAAAACTTAATCTGGAAGACCCTTAGCCATCTGTTTCTTTTATACTTAGGATTTTAATGGGCTAGTCCTTCAGAGTGTAGTTATTCTCTTCTTTTGAGCAAATGGCATCCTTCAGTAGTGAAGATGCATTTCAAGATTCAGCAGCCCTCTCCCTAAACGATGTGGAAAGCCTGCAGAGCTTCCGCAGCCGGTCTGCAAGTTTCAGCAGCACGGGGTCCAGTGGCCGCTTGCAGCTCCGTCAGCGAGTATCCCAGCTTATGGCTTGTGTAGAGGACATCAGCTCGGATGATGAAATTCATGAAGAAGTGTCTCGCACTCTAGATGAAGCTTTCCGTATCTGGGGGAAAAAGCTGAAGGATAAGTGGCAAGAATTCAGGTTTTGTTCCCTCTAATGGATTGTTTTTGTGGTGGTGGTGGTGTTTCTTTTTCATGCTAGCTAATAAATAGATTTCTGATCGATGAAAAGTGACAGAAAATCATTGTTTTCTCTAGACAGAGATTCTGTGGGGAAATTAGATGCTCTTAGGGTTGGTTACCTGTTCACATTTCAATTTTAGCATTGGTTTTGTGTGACTTTTGTTTGTTTGTAGACTACACTTAGTTACCTGGAATGTGGGCACAGCTTCTCCACCTCCTGATGTCACTAGTTTACTTCAGCTCAATTCACTGGGCCCAACTGTGGATATGTATGTTATAGGGTACGTATATATTAAAGAACTTGCTTAAGTTTATTGCAAAACTGCAAAGTTTCAACAGCTTACTGTCTGTTTTGGGAGGACTGTGCCATGTGCATCACTGCCTAGGAGAAGGTTTAACATTATTGCTAACAGAAGGTGAAGACTAGAGTTAGTGACTTAGAACAGAGATGATTTCTAGCAAAAGAATCTTCTCTCCTTTCTGCTGTTGTTTTGTGACAAAATACAGAATATCCTTTTTCTAAATGTACAAAAAGTGTTTGGCTGCCGTTTTCTTTGTTGGCACATAGAGGCATATTAATTTTGATATGAAAGTTATCCAAAATTCAGCATGTTTTAAAGAAGTTAGTGCGAGTTTATTAGGCACAATCTGACTTCATGTTTTCCAAACTTTCTAGAAATTTTAAAGACTTGATAATAGGTTATTTGTCATAACATATCTTGAGTCTAGCATGGTCTTAAGCTCTGTCTTCAGGTGTATATAAGCTCCTTTAACTTTGCTTTTCTCAGTGTTCGATGTGTTAGACCTGTGGATAGATTAAATTGCTTGTAAATGAGAAACTGAACAGCAAGAAATTTCTGACTTGCACTGAAAGAGGTCCGTTAGGATGTTGTGGTCTGTGTTCTGCAAAGGTTATATGAATTCTATCAAAACCAAGTGATACATTGTGAGTAATCCTGATCTATTCAGCTTACAGGAGGTGAACTCAAGAATCACAAATTTTCTGTCTGACTTGGCATTTGATGATCCATGGAGCATTTTTTTCATGACTGTATTGTCTCCATTGGGATATATCAAGGTAATTGTTTACATCTCTTAACTGTCACAACAGTGAAGGAAAATGTCTTCCCCAGCTCCTTTCAGATTTTTTTTCCCCTCAAACTCTCCGTAAAAGATAAGTTGATGCTGTTTTTTGCATGTGTCAGTCACTTCCATAGGTATACATATATTAGAAGTGATTCTTCATCACACTTGTGTTTTGCTGGTTTGTTGCTAAAAGCAATTTTATTTTTTCTCTATTAATAATAATGTCCTTAATTTTAGCAGTAAAAATTGGACGTACGGTTTTTCATTTCTCATTTGGAGTAGCTGGGCAGTTTTGTTGCTTTTGCAGCTCAGATGACAAACAGCAAGAAGTTGTTCAGATATACTGGCAGTGGCCCCTGTAAGTGCTGCAGAACCGGGTAATGAATAGAAAAAACCCTCCTGTCATAGTAACAGTTCTCAAGGAACAGAGTAATGTAGATTATTTAAAATTAAATGTAATGTAAACTTATACTCAACAGCATATTTCTTGTGGCCACAATATCTCTATCTTGTTTGTAGAAAATTTTTTTGCTCTGTGCAATACTGGGGAACTGTATTATGATGCTTCTAATGTAATCTTACTTAAGTACTTGCTTTCAGTGTAAATATCCCAAACAATGGCTGTGATTCTGGTTAAGATCGGTAAGGTTTCTTTTTCTTTTTTTTTTTTTCCAACTTGTTTGCAGGTGAAAATAAATTGTATATATGTAAAACAGTATTTTAGCAGGTATATATATTTTTCTGAGGACATTATTTTTGTTTGAAGACCTAGAACGTTGTATGGTAGTTTAAGTGACAAGATTTCTGGTATATCTGGGTATCTGGGGCATAACATCAGCTAAAATACTAGCTCTTTTAATAATGCAAGCGATGAACTTAGGATGTCCTGAATTTCTCTAATAAAGAGATACTAAAAGCCTTTTGAATGTTGCATTGGTTTTCTAAACCAAGTATTATTTCAGGGTGATTTTGCTGTGATGATTGTGTTATGTGCATGCTAATCAGACTTAGTAGTCGTGCCATTCTTTTAACCATAGCTAAACAAAACAAAGGACCCATTGGGAATTACAAAAAGGAAGAAAAAACATTGTTCATTCTAGTGTAAGGCATTGCTGATGAACGTTCAGAACCTTGTCTGTGGGCTGACATTCAGGCCCCATAATTCTGAGTGATATGCATGGTTGCTTTTGAGTTCTAATTTATAAATGTGGCACTTTGGACACACTAATGAATGGATGCTGCCACCTAATGGTTTTCAGCAGGACTTGATTAGCTCTAATAATAAGATAGGACTGTCAGGCCAGGTCAGAATCAAAACAGGTTGTGAGGAGAGCTTCTGCTGGGAATTTGGCTGAGAAGGGGAGGAACAGTTACCCCTTCTTTGCTGACTTGTGACAAGGTTGGGTGTGGAGGAGTAGTTGTCATCCTTGGGGCATTCTGTCCCTTCCCTAACAGGGTCCGTTTTCAGAGTGTTAAGTTGGTTGGGGTCAGTCAATTCTTTCACCATAAACAGAATCACGTCCCCTCTATGAAGGGTTTTTGCTCGGTTTGGCAGTATGTATTGGTGGGACCAGCACGGGAGGCATCCACTGTGTTTTGGTGTTCCAAGACCTACAGAGAGAAGAGGTTTCATACAGATTTTGAGAAACATCTAGGGACTGGCCCACAGCAGCATGAAATGTAGCAAATAATAAAGGGACTGAAAGATCTTGGTATCTCATGACATAATTATGGAAAGGAGAATAGTGGTTACACAAAATGTCTGATCAGATACAAATATTTATGCATCATCTAGATATGTCAGCTTTAAACTGACAGAGGGCAGATTTAGATTAGATGTAAGGAAGAAATTCTTCCCTGTGCGGGTGGTGAGGCCCTGGCACAGGTTGCCCAGAGAAGCTGTGGCTGCCCCCACCCTGGAAGGTTCAAGGCCAGGTTGGACGGGGCTTTGGGCAGCCTGGTCTGGGGGAAGGTGTCCCTGCCCGTGGTGGGGGAGTTGGGACTAGGTGATCTTTAGGGTCCCTTTCAACCCAAACTGACCTGTGATTCTGTCTGGTAACTGACATCCATCATTTCAGTATACTGCTTAGTATTTTTGGGGGGTTCAAGAACATTAATGTATATTCTGAAATCGTTCAGTTGTGTAGATGTGGAAGCAAAGAAAGGAGGAATTCTGTTTTAAATTTTCGGCTGGCGTGTACTTCCTCAGCAGTTGTACAGTCAGTGTTATTCTTAGTATCAGGTTTTATTCTCATGTAGTCTTTCTCCAAGTTCATCCAGCATAAAATTGAACTATAATGAATATATTTCAATGTCTGTATTTTAAATTGAAACATTATCATTAAAACAAACACTTACAAGGAATTTTGTGTCTCATGCCAGGAACACTGTAAAGTTCATAAATTTTTAATGAAGAACATCTTCGTTAGACTATTTCCACACATACACAAAAAGCAAACCACAAAAAAAATCCAGTGTCTTAAAGCTTAAACAGTCTCTTACGTGCTCTGTAAGCATCTTTGGGAGTGTTTGGTAAATCAGCTTTTACAGGCTTGCAGGCAAGAGTTACTGCTGTTGGCAGCTCATTGTTTTTGCAAATGCCTAGGAGTAACTGCTGTGCTTTTTAGGCATTTTAATGGCATCTAGAATGATTAGTTATATGCTAAAGGATGTTGCAGTTTGAAAAACTTGCTCCTGTTGGAGGACTTTGTAGGTGCGCACTTAATATAAGTGAAAAATCAAGGGTTTGGTTCCTCATGAATAAGATGCTTAAAGGTAGAAACAAGAGACTGGTGAGGCAGAAGAAAGGTCTTTAAAGATGTTTGGGCAAATACACAAGTTTTGAGGTCAACTTCAGATTTATAATGCTACAACTAATCTTAATTAGTTGAGAGATTCATCAGAACTATTTATAAGCAAGTCTGCCCTAAGAATGCTTTCTTTACAGCCCTGAAATGTGTCTGTGTTTAGTGTGTCACAGCACTGAAGCCAGGCTTGGCAAGGGACTTGCATGACTTAGCTATTCGTTCTTCACCTAAAAGCTCCTATGAACTAGACCCCAGGAATTGTAGATACACCCCTGGAAATGACCGTGCTGCCTCTCGTATCTCTTCCAGCTCTCCTCCATTCGCATGCAGGGGTTACTGCTGCTGCTCTTTGTGAAGCACGTCCACCTGCCCTTCATACGGGACATTCATACCCACTACACACGCACGGGCCTGTACGGATACTGGGTAAGGAAGGTCTGGTTGCCTTGGTTACACTTACGGTCGGGTGTGCCTCTAAATGGTTTCATGGTGGGAGAGAGGATATATGGTTTACTTAAAAATGAATAAACTACAAGCAGCGAGACTCCCTCGTTTGAACCTTGTATGTACAGGCTGTAATTTTACCAGTTTATTAGCTGATACGCAACAACTTATGTAGGAAGAAATTGCATTAGTTTAAATCTAAATAGCAAGATTTAGGATTGCATAGGTGGTGGTGATAGTTATGTCTGCAGGCGTTGACTGTAGTTTCAGAGAATGTTGTGCGTCTTCCGTACCAGGGGAACAAAGGAGGAGTCACCGTTCGCATGTCCCTCTATGGTCATACAGTTTGTTTCATGAACTGCCACTTGCCAGCTCACATAGAGAATACAGAGCAACGACTGGATGACTTTGAGAAAATTCTGGAAATGCAGTTTGAAGGAGAGAATATTCCAAGTACCTTGGATCACGAGTGAGTTGGTCAGACCCTGTTCTCTCTGTATTCTTTTTATTTGTTACATGGTCAACTCATGCACTGAAGATCAGTTTGGGTTTTGGAGTTTTCATCCATCATTTTTATTTCAAATGTCTTTTCAGCCTTGGCCTTGAATCCTGGGAGGAAAAGCTAACCTGAAAGATGGAGGTCTATTTTGCAAGACTGTTCTCTTCCAGTCTTGAATTACATTCAGTTTGTTAGTGTATGTACAGCACATGTGATGTGCTGGAGAGCTTTAGAAGCTAAAGCCCGTTTATAACAAAAATCCTTGAGATTGCTATTAGATGTTTATCTTCCTCCATTTTTTGAGAAGATTTGCGTTACGTTTTGAGCTGGTTTTATTCCTGTTGAAATTTTAGAATCTGGCTGAGGGTGTCTCAGCCTTTAAAACCTTGATCGGTGATTTCTGTAGCTATATGAATTGCACTTTCCTCAGGTGTCTTACAAAAAAACCACCATAACAAACCTGATTTGGGCCACTAATTGAGCTCTTGTTCTTAATTGTACAGGAATTATTTGCATGTTCCATTGTTTCCGTGTGCTGAAGATGGTAGTAGAACCATTTAAAACAGGGTTGAGAAAAGCATTTCAGTTTAGGTTTGTTTGTTTGGGTTTTTTTTAATATACCTTTAAAACTGCCAGGACAGATAAATCTGGAATAGATATGTAACATCACTTTAATTGTTAATGAATTAATTAAAATTAGGTAAAAATGTAGGACACGTGAGTTTCAAAATTATTAATTTTCCTACCTTAGTATAAGTGTTTGATATTTCAATTTTATGTGTTGCATTTTCTCAATTACGTGCATGGGCATGTACCAAATCACTCGCTGTCATCTTCTAAGAAGAAATTACAAACAGCATTAAAAGAAAAGTTTTGTCTCCCTAAGATCAAGTTTGGAGTGTCTGCCCCTGAACAAAACCTTGAAAGTAGGGATTTTCAAAGAGAAGTTATTTACTTAAAAACCAGCTTTCCTGTTGTTTAAAACTTTGCTGATGATGCACTCCAGTGCTTCGTAACAATAAATTTCTTTGCTAATAATTATAGAACACCCAGTAGGTATCCCTGCTTTCCCAGGGCACTAAACCAGAGCTCTGAGTTATTGGATTAACATAACCAGATGGTGTATAGGTCATTAATTTTGTGAATTATTTTACCTACTGATAAATTTAATTCTAAATCTGTCTCTAATAGAGATATAAGTCATTAGGAGATTCGGGAGAAGGTAATACCCAGGCAATAATGAGCAAGTGACAAGAATGCAACAGACTTCATTTATTATTTCAGTTTCTTCACATTTTTTGTTTAGCAGCAGGTTATCCCTGTGTAATCTTATCTGCAACTACTTAATGTCTGTGTTTAAACTGTTCAGATTAAGTAATATAAGTGATTAGAGCCCCTCATTAGTGTAATGCCTTATATTCTATTGAATTCTTCCTTTGTGTTAATGGATTCCTATAAATCTTCCTTGTTTTTTTGCCCCCCCCCCCCTTTTTTTTTTTAAAGTGTTCTCTTCTGTTTTGGGGATCTGAACTTCCGGATAGCAGATTATGGCATACATTTTGTCCGAGAATCAATAAATAACAAGCGTTACAATCTGCTGTGGGAAAAGGACCAGGTATGTTGTCTTACTCTGTTTGGAGACTTTGGTTGGTTGGTTTGGCTTTAATGCATACAAACACAACATGGTAGTTAACATTACCTCTTGAGTTTCTAATTTCTATGAAGAGCACAAATTCAGGGTAGTCATGGGGTGGGACAGATCTAGCAGTTCACTCTCTTAGTTCACAGTCACAAGCCCCAGTGAATTGTGAACTTTTTCTGCTTTTGTTTACTTTCTTACTCATTTACAATGCCCATGTTTGAAGCTTTCTTTGAACTTCATGGCTTGCGAATTGTTCCTCGCTTTCATTTCTCTTCCTTTTTTCCTCCCCTATGAAGTACATTTAAGAGAAGCTTATTCTGGAATTTGTTTTGAGTAGAACTGCTACAAAGCTTTTAAAGAATTTGTGTCAAGAGTTCTGGCAGTAACCAAGAGGCACTCCTGAATTTACCTTTCCAAATATGTTGTGCCGACTTGAGAAGTTGAATTCTTCTTGGAAGACACTTTCCCATCTCCTTTTCCAGTTGCCCTTTAAACTCTGATTTTTAAACTTAATCTTTAAAAGTTACTTTTTAATTCTGCAGTTAAATATGGCAAAAAAGAAGGAAGCATTTCTTCAGGAATTCATAGAGGGTCCTCTGCAGTTTAAACCCACCTACAAGTTTGACCTTTATTCGGATGTATATGATACAAGGTAAAAGCATAATAAGATGAGTTTAGACATGGAATATTAAAATGAATGTGGTACTTGACTAAATATCACTTTCATAAGCAAACTTGAATTTCCTGAATGTACTGGTTAACTGGGGCTATTGAGCTATTCTGTTAGGCTCATTCAGTGGTCACATCTGAATAAATGAGTATTTCTGGCTCAAGAAGCCTGAGTCTGGTGATTGCATGAGGGAAGTAGTGAAGCAAGCCAGCTTTCTTTGTGCAAAGACTAGATTAACAGAATAAATTATTGCTTGTTTAAGCCACTCCTTTTTAGTTCTTTAGTAGTAAAAGTGCCCGTTCGTTGTCAGAAATGAGCAAAAGGAAAAGAGTAATTGTCCACAAATTAAGCATTTAACTAGATATTGCTGCTATTTGAAAATAAATGTAAAAAATGTGTCTTTATAAAATATTTTAAGTTGAAAATGGAGTAGCTTAAGTTTCCGGCATTTTTCTCTGACACTTTTTTCTCTGTTTGTTGATAAGTATTATCCTTCTGTTGAAACATAAGACTAAGTTCTTGTCCAAACGGGGGGTTTGTACTGATATTTTTCTTTACTTCCAGAGAGCAGAAGTCCCTGTTTTGGTTTAAGTAAGAAGAGAACTTTTTGGATTTCATAGATTTGTAAATATTTCAGAATCAAAACAATGCTCCTTCCCGAGCTTTTGATTTGATTTTTGTGAAATATTTGAAAATCAGATGACAGCTGATTTTCTTCAGGGATTTTCTGAACCTGTCTGAAAGCTGTAGTGTTATCTGCTCTGCTGTGCACTTAATATTGGAAGTTTATTCATTTGGCTCCAAAGATATTTTGCTCCCTACTTGAGTGTGAAGAGACATAATGGGAAATCCAGTGAACAAAAAATACCTATAATCATCCAAGCCTAGACACTGTAAGAATGATTCACAGCTAGTCTGTACTGGCTCATGTAAAGAACTAAAGTATGCTTGCTCATACTCTGTGCGTTCTGTTAGAGCTAGCAGAGGTATTTTGGTCACATGGAGGGTGATCAGTAGACCTCAAGGCAAGCACCCTTGAAAAGTGTGCTTTATATGATGTACATAGTATTTTGTTATCTTTAACACTTTTTCAGTGTGGATTTTGAGGTTTTGTTTCCCATCTAATATGCCTTTTTCTGTAAAATAGTGAGTATATTAACTTAAGCTGTTCTTTTGGTATTTTCTTGCACAGCAGAGCAGACCTATGGCAGCTCATAAAGATTTCTGTCGGTTTATATAATTACTGAAGTAAGTGGGATATGGCCCCTTAGTCATTTAAAATCTTTCCACCTTATTAAAGGTGAGTCAGACTTCTATATGGGAAGGGGTAAAACTGTTGAATGGTGAACTAAATGGCATTTCCAGTTTCTGATGATTTTTGATATTTAAAGTTATTAAACTGACAGTTTTCCTTGCACATCCTGCTCATTAACTTTTATAATCCAATCCAATCCGTTCTAATTCCCCTTCCATAGGGTATGATCTTTTCTCCAGTTTGAAGTGATACATCCATACAGAGAGTTGCTGTTAAATCTTCCTCCCACTACCCTTCTCCACAGAGAGAACCATGAAAGGCTCATGTCTTCTGTTGTTACTGATATGGTATAAAAGGAAACTCTGAATTACGATTACAGTTTAATCTATAGCACAGTTGCAGGTTGCAGACACAACTTTCTTGATTATGGAATTTTGAAAGCCTTTTGTTATGAGACAGCAATAGCTTGCAAACTTGGAATGCAGGCTAGTACAATTTAGAGGAACTTTAAATAAAGCATTGCTGTGTCACCTGTGAGTAGTATAAGCTACCTAAGTTTGTCCATTTTTTGTTGTTAAAAGAAACTTGTTCTCAAATGTTTTGAATAATTTCAAACCTCATTCAGACTCTTCCTACATCTTCCTTAAGTTTATGCCCCATATCTCAGAATAACTGTACATTTGAAGCTTGGGGAAGTTGCTGTATTATCTCAATGCAATTGCATGTTTTTATGGAGTGTTTTAGGAGAAAGTATCATTTCCTGTATGAAGCCAACTAACCCACTGAAATGCCCTTCTCCCCTTCATTTTACTCCTCTTTCAGAAACCTTTGAAACTTACCTGTGGTAAAGAGCACTGAGTTCAAACGAAGGAAACCTTGCTTGTAAAGCATATTGAACAGAGCTGTAAAATGAAGCTTGTATGTGATTGCCTTCTTTTATTAATATGTGTCTGACAGTCTTTGAACTTTGAGTAGATTTTGGACGGTATTCTTAGCTTTTGGCAACTGTTTTTCTTCGCGTTTCACTTTTATCTTACGCTTTTGCAGTGAGAAGAAAAGAAAGCCAGCGTGGACCGATAGAATTCTTTGGAGAGTGAAAAATCTTTGCCAGCATGTGTCAAAAGAAGGCGAATTCACTGAAGAGGAACAGACAATTTCTGTTACTTTGAATAACTATATCAGTCACATGAGCTATGGCATCAGCGATCACAAACCTGTTACAGGAACTTTTGGGCTTGAGGTGCTGTTCCAGTTATGTTGTTAAGAATAACTTTGTTTTACTAAGTGTTGCCTTACAGAAGATGGTTTTCTAAACTTTAAGTGATAATCTCTGTTTTGTTCTGATTGTAGTGAAGGCAGAAAATTGCTTTCAGGTTATTTCCATTCAGTGAAGAGTCCCACAGCAGGTGTGACAGAGAATAACTTGAAAAACTGAAAGAATGACAGGCCTGACTGACTTTAAATTCTTTTCTTTTGTCTAGTTGAAGCCTCTTCTGTCACATCCTCTGGTCACGCTGAATCCTGAGGGTGAGTGGAGCGCAGAACATGATGTTCTAATCAGCTACTCTGCAGCACCTGAGCTCCCAAGCAGTGCTTGGGACTGGATTGGACTCTTCAAGGTAATGTTAGTGCATCATGGCTCTTTAATGAAGATAGTGAATATGACTGGAGGAGGTAGTTGACAGTCTTTTGTGATAGGACACTGTGATTCTTGCTGGTGCAAAACTCTCTGAAATAGTGATGTGTTCTTGATTGCCATCAGTTTCAGTATGCTGACAGTTCAGTTGGATGGCATGTGAGCTCTTTCGCACCCTTTAAATTCTCTGCAAAGATAATCTGGTGATTTATTTAAGTAAAATGGTGCAGAAGCTGTGAAGAGGAATTGTCCTCCCCCAATGCCTGCACTTCAGAAGATTGATACAGCAAAGAGAACAAAAATAAAGTCAATGGAAGGGTGAGAGAACAGAGCACTTGCACCCTCTCAGAAACAAAAGATTTGTGCAAAATGTTTTGATCCTAAAAGTGAAATGTTTTAATTACTTCAGTAAAGTAGTAAACGTCTCTCTCACAACTCTGAGTTTTCTACATAGTGTGTTTTTTGCTCCCTTCAGAAGGCTGATGGTTTGCATCTTTCTTTGCAGGTGGCTTTCAGGCATGTGAATGACTATGTTACTTACGCTTGGGTAGAAGATGATGAAATTTCTTCTAACAAAGACAGTAAACAAGTAAGCTAGTTGTATTTCTTTCTCATGTAGTTTCCCATGGAGTAGCATTCAAGGTCTACTTGTTCCATATCCCCTTCCTCTTATGGGGGGTATCCTCTTTCCCAATCCAAGCTAATTGGGAGCCATATTATTGTTTAAAATCCCTCTTGCTAATTCTTATTAATTTTCAGGAAGTCTAGCATACTGTCTCAGGTGTGATCATATTGCTTAAGGGAATTGATGAAAAAGCAATTTATTCCTGTAGTGACTTTTGATTGTACTAAAAACTACTGTCATTTTATGGTTTTGTCCATTTCTGCCACTGAAATAAGGGGCCATTTTTTAATCTGATTGTCATAAAGTTATTGTGTGATTTTCATTACAGCTGTAAGTACCTAATGTTACTAACAGTTAGTTTCAGGTATCTAACACAGCTACAGATGTGGGTTTCTTAGACTTTTCTTCATTTTGGCTGTTGTGTATTTTGGTCCCTCTTTAAAAACTGCTGTCTGTTTTCAAACCAACCAACCAACCGACCTTATTTTGCGTACAAATGATCTGTTTCCAGAGGTATTTATCTGAACAAAGAGAAATTCAAATGTAATTTTGGAGACACAGTGAGTGCAAGGATGGATGAGATTTTCCAGACAACAATGGAAAGCAGTTATTTCTTGGTATTTTGTAAGTTAGCATCAAGTTTGCAGCCAGAGCCCAAATCGTATTGTATCAATATTCTGAATATCAAAATTTCTCTGATACCATGGTTTCCTATCACTAAGCTTAGAATCTGAACACTATGAATGTTGTTTTAGCAGGATACTGTGGGCTTAGGAACCATTGGGTCTTTAGGCTGATACAGACCCGAGGTGGTGGGTTTACTCTGCTGTTTTGTGTAACAACTTACTGCAGTTCATCTCCCTCCCTGCTGTTTGTGTGGCCTTGCCCCTTCCCTTACAACTCCAGGTTTCTTCTCACTTCTTGCTGAATCAAATCAGCTTGCAAACATGGTGAAGGATATTCACTTTTCCTCCCTGAGTTAGTTTCCAGATGGTTTCATGGGTTATTTCTGTCCTGATCCTTTTTAGCTTATGCTTTAAAACTTGTTTATAAATAGTAAATACTGATTTACTGTCCTGAATGACAGAGACTGCTGTTTTGGTAAGCTTCTTTCTCTCTGGAAATTGCCCATTGCCTATTATTATTCTTGTTGACAGGTTTACATGAGTGCTGCAGAAATACCTGATATGGGAGGAGAATTTTTGCTTTGTTATTATAGCAATAATTTGCAGTCAATAGTTGGTATCAGCCAGCCTTTTCAGGTAATATATTTGGAAGCTTTGTTTAATGTTGATGTGATTTTTATTTCTTTTGCTTTCATGTGTCTGAATGTAGGTGTGTGCAGCTGTGTTAATCCTGGGAGAAGTGGCAGCAGAAGTAATTACAAAAAGGATATGTGCTGGCTAACATCCCATTAAAAAATTTGCTGATATGCTAAAAGACTCTGAGTAACTATTATGGCAACACATTGTTGTAATGAAATAAGACAGGTTTCTTTCAGCTTTCATTTTTGCAACTCCAGGCTCTGTCAGTTAGGTCTCTAGTTTCTGTAAAGATGAGAACTGAAACTTAAATGCTGCCAAGTTTCTGACAGATTGTAAGTGAACTCTTTGTGTTCCATTCTGTGGTAGATTTGCAGAGAAGTACTTCCTGTATATTTAGTCACTTGAATTTTGGAAAGACAAGGTATCTGGAACTCAAGTTATTTAACAGGCTGCTTTGTTTAATTTCTGAAAGGATGACTTAACCTGCACAGACTAGATGAAGCGACTGAGCGTTGCTGCTTCTACACAAGCTATTTTTGCCAAAATCATTTTGTTTGTGCATAATTTTCCATGCTGTCGTGGCTGTTCTGCTGTGTTGTAGAATGGTTAAAATGGAAGTTCTGCCTCGTTGTTGGATGGAGAGGTTTGAGAAGACTGTGAAACTACTGTCTTAGGGGATACACTAATGAAAGTTGCTGGGCTGGCTGGTATATCTCACTGATATTGTTCCTCATTTTCTTTATGTATTGGTGAGAAACATTGCAGAGTCGAGTATTTCACTTATCTTTGAGCATAAGATCTACCACAGACTCTGCAGGATGATTATCAGTTGTATGTGGATACAACACACCATATGCCTTTCTTTTTGCATGACACTTAATGTTTTGGTATCAGCCTAGTGGGTTTTTAGTAGATTTTTTTTTTTTTATTCATAATTGCTGCATAGATGCATCACTTTCAATGTTCTCAGTTTCTATCAAGTGTGTAAGACATCTTTTTATAATGGTGTATTGATAGTGTAGAGCAACATGGTGTTTCTGAATGTGTTAATAAATTTATTAACTGCTGTCTGTCTTCTAGATTCAGCCTAACAGAACATTAATAAGAAAGGATCTGACACAGGAAGAGAACAGTTGGATGCAGAAACCTGACAATCTGGCATCGCAGGATGAATTCTGAAGGCAGAAAGGGCATTTAGTGGTCCTGGTTCAGGAGTTAGATGATTCTTTATGTCTTAGTGATTATAAGCTTTTACTCTTAGAAGATGGAGTAAGACAGTGCAAGTAAGACAGGTAGGATTGTTCAGAAACTTTGTAAACTCACAGAAGATAATTTATTGTGGAAACATATTTTTATTGTTACAGGGAGAGTAACTCTCTTGCACTGGATCAGAACTGTAAAAATAGCACCTAATGAATGCTGTATGTTTTAAGGTGATAGACGTTTCTAATATAATGATTTAACCTAAGTAAATCGCAATCTATAATAAATTTTTAGGCTTTCTCAGTTTTTGTAGAGGGTATTTTATTTACAATACAATATTTACTATGCTGTAACCACTTAATCATTGATTTTCAGATTTTGAGTTTAAATGAAGTTATTTAAACCTTATTTATTAGATTCATCTAGTTAGCTTGTTTTAAAATTTTATTTGACTTTCAAATGTAAGCTAATTACCTTTTGGGAAAGAGATGTGGCGACAAGTCACGTGAAAACAAAATCTTTGGAGTGTGTAAATTCTCCTTTGGTAGTAGATCACTTTTTTTCATGCCTTACTGATAACTGTTTGTAGGAGTTTCCATTGTTTTTTTCCAGATGGAGATACATTTATCAAAACACACTTTCCTGACTTTTTTTTGGGTAATGCTTCTTTTATAAAATGATTTATCAGTTTGCCTATGCATTTCTCCTTCTGATTTAAAAAAGTAAAATAAAACTGCTTTTATGCTAGTCCCTGGCTGAGGGTTAACCAGGATCCCACAATTTCTGAAAGAAATTGCTTCAGTTGAGAAATGCTTTATCATAGGTGAGCAGACCAATAGCACTTGTTTGCAAAGAGCTAATGGTCATGGTACTAACCCTCATTGTTTTTTGCTGTCATTGAGTTTAGAAAGCTAAATCCATATTTAAGTATTTCCCTGATACCATCTTGTCTTGTAATTGCTACACTTACTACGGAGACGATGAGAATTATAAATGGGGAATTTCAGTGGAACGAGTCTTTTCTTATGGCATAATCTCTGCTACCAAAATTGGAAATCTCTTCAATTTAAAGCAATTGGTCTGCAAAATTTCTGTTTTCTAGAGGTGCTTAGACCTTAATGTATCCTGTACACTTGAGGATGGAGATGGAATAAGAAAGATCATGTACCTTTAAAAACCCGAAAGGTAGTTAGCTTCAGAAATGGTTTTGTTTCTTGATGAGGAAATGGAGATGTTTGGAAAGGTTTGGAAGAGGCACCAACATTCCACAGCATCTCAGACTGAGGTGCTGGCAAAGAGCACTCGTGAGTCTCCCATGTTCTAGGTACCCAGCTTCGAGCTACCTGCTGTGTACGGTAAGTAAAATTAGTTACTAATCATTGTCATGTTGGCTGTGGATGGAAAAGAGAAAATTTGGTTCAAGTGGAAGAGCAAAGCGAAGGATGTTGGTGTGTTGATGTTGGAATATTGCTTCAGAACAGAGTGGATTCCTTTTTGCTGTTTTTCTCAAAGCTTTAGCTTTCTCAAGAATCTTTTGAGATAAAAGGTTAAGACCTTAGTATGACATTTGATTTGCAATTACTTGTTTTATACACTGTATAAAGTCTGCGGTCTGGATGTCTCTGTATAATGTGGAAACTATAACATAGGCTAACCGGTTAGGTAGTTGCAGTGTGGGGTTTAAGAACACTTAGCTTCTGTAAATTTTAGTTAGTAGTAGCTCAGCTTAATGCTTGGTGTTGGGAACCATTTCCACTTTTAAGTGGTGAGTGAGGGCAGGTTCAGAGGATACTGTGTTCATTGCACGGATTAAAACTGCCTTGAGATTTACAGTTTGTACATTCCTATTAGACTTTGGACGAATAATAGAAACCATTTTCACATTTGTACCTGTCTTACAAGAATTTGTTTTGCACTAGATCTTTCAGATATGTGACTTTTCACGGCAGTTAGGGCATCAGACAAATCCCTACCGAATTGCAAAGAACTTCTGCAGTTCTTGAGTTGTGCTCTGTTTCTGATTTTACTTGTGGAACTGTATTACTGTACTTCATGCAAGGAGATTCTGTGGAGAGCTCAAGGAACAGTGGTCTTTGAATTCCAGACCACAGCTGGCGATTTGTTGTGGACCAAGATCCAGTTTCTTCTGATCAGGGTGCATCTGCTGTTCGTGAGCAGCTCAGAGGGGGAGCTATACAGCCGCTTTACATGGCAAGAAACTCAAGATCCCTAATGTTCTATGAGAGCTGATAACCCTCTCGATCACTCGACACAGAAGCTGCATTTTGTAAACCAATCCTTTGAACCACAGGACTTCACTGAAAATGCCCACAGCAGCTGTGATTGAATCTGCTTGTGTGTTAGTAGGATGCTGCACAGAACTCTATACTTCTTTCTTGAGTATTATGCACACAGTGGCACTTTTGTTTACTACTGTTACCTATGGTAGCTTTTCAAACTATTCCATGACCTGTAATGATGCAATTTCTGATGAAATTTATCTTTCTTAAAGCACCTTTATTGGATGTTATAATCACTGGAAATGTTTTTATATTCAAGCGTTTTCTTTTCACGTACCACTAAAATAAATCCTGGCAGTGAAGCGTCTACATGGCCTGTATTAATTTGCGAATGAAGACGTTGGTTCAGGTGGGGAGGATTAATATGTGCATGATAACCTTTCTCCAAGAAACTTTGCTCTTGTTTAATGCACTCAGAGAACTATTTTAGAATGGAAGTATGTCAGTAATAACATACGCGGTAGGGCTTTGGACTGCAAAAGAACGGCGAGGACAAATACTGTTTTTTCTTTTGACAAAGCAGATTTTTTTTTTTTTCTATTTAAATGAATCCAGTATTAAATTGACTTCTGGTTTGGATTCTCTATCCCCCCCTTCCCCATTGAGGGAGGTTTTGATATTGTCCTCGTAAAAATGCTCAAGCCACTTCACATTGCTTTCTTAATTTTTAAGAACAGGTTCTTCTAATTTCACTTTTTCAGTGAATTTTTCAGTGTGATTTGAGATGTCTATTTTGTCTTTGTGAAAAATCTGCTATGTTATACTTCGTATTTTACATTTTTTATGTTTTAATATAAATTTCCTATCAAGTAATTTCCATCTAAGGGTAATTCCCTGATGTTAGAGAATTTATTTTAAAATGGGAAATATGTCTTACCAAGGAACGTTGTTCAGTGTAGCCTTATTTAACTTCCATATATTTCTGATTCCTAGCTAACCTCAGGATGTGCAGTGTATCATTGCACACAGATAGTACAGCTCTCTGTAAACAGGAAATATTTCTAAGATGTCTTGCGTGTTTGTTAGACCCTAAAAATACGTTCTGATAAAGACTATTGTTTCTACTACCACTACTTCCTTCTCTGCTCTTGGACACTAACTGACACTCAGATGAACTTGTCTTAATTAATATACTGCTGTGGAAAGGGCAGCTGAACAATGCTTGAATTAGGTTTTCCTTGAGAGAGGAAATGATGCCTTTTTTGAGAAGTCTGCATTACTAGCAGGAGTATTTCCGATGGCCCTATCTGTCCTTGGATATAGGGAGTCACTATTTGAAAGTGATTGAAATGAAGCAGTTTCTTTTGTGATAACAAGATATAGAGAACACAGAAAGTTCCTCATACTCACCACTGCATCAATACCAGAGTTAATTAACTTTGTAACTCATGCGTTAAGGAGATACTGTTCTAGTTTCCTTATACATGTATTTTTTTGTTTATACCAACCATGAAAGAGAAAGGCTTTTTGTGTAAAGATAGAAGTGTTTGAGGCCAGTTGTCTATGTGCACAGCTTGCTTTCTTTTACCTTTAACTCTCTTTCGTCAGGCGTGCGCCCCAGCATCAGAGGGCTGTGTGTACCCAGTAGTGCACAGTGTAAGCTGCTCTTTGTGTGGCTGCTTTGTTCAGCCAAGGCAGTGGCACTCGCCACCCGATGAACCTGTGCAGAACACGGTGAGTTACTCTGGAACCTGCTCTGCTCAGGAGCTGTGCTGAATGTGTCTGCTCAGTCGCTTCAGTTTAAGAAGAGTCGTGTATCCGTGTGTGTGCATCCCACCTCCCTGTATTACAGTGGAACTGTCATCTTCTCCTTGCAAGGTCTCTGCAATTAAAAGTAAGAGCATCTCATATGTGCAGTCTAGAAGGTAGCAAGAGAACCTGTGTGGGAGCTTTTGGAGCACAGGTTGGAAGAATCATTGGAGGAAAACAGTGAAGTCAGGGCAAGACTGGGAGATCTGGGAATGAAAACTGCCGAGAGGAAGTGCAGAGGTGTGTGAAAAATTCAGAAAATAAGAATTTGCTAGCACCACAAAAAGAAGAATAACATAGTAGCAAACATTTTAACTTGTTAACCCTAGTTTGACAGTTGTCAAATACAGGCATCAGCCCTAGTCAGGAATGTTTCAGCATTGCTTGTCAAGTACAGGCTTTACTGTAACTGTGGTTTTAAAGTGTACTGCTTGGTCTCAGCAGAGACCACACCATGTTCCTCTCATCTGTTTTGTTCTCTCTTTTATATATTTTTTTTCCCAGCCTCTTTCTACTATCTTTATCCTTTTCTTTTTTTCCTCTTGTTCTCACTTGTAGCCCATTTTCAGAAGTTTTTTTCACATAATTCTGGTATCTACATCTCAGAAATCATTCCAGTTAAACAGCCTTTGTGTTCTAGACTATTAATCTTTGTAATTTCTATGTATAGGAAGAGGAGATAAGATAGGCTGGGTATTGCTCCATATTACTGAGTAGGGTGGTTTTGTTTGGAGAAGTGACAGTGATGTTTGGTTGGGGTTTTTTTAAATGATAAAATCTCTTCTTCAGTAGAACCCTATATTGGGAAGTAAGTGGTCAAGGAAACAATTGTTGGACTGGAACAATGTTGTATATAACAGCTAAGGGAAGTATAACAATAATTCCAGGTATGAAACATAGAACAGTAACAGGCCATTTCTTTTCAATTACTGAACGGAATGGTGTTCTCCATTTGCTCTTCAGTGGCCAGGTGCTTGTTAATCTTAACTACTAAGTAATTTTTTTTGACAAGCAGCATCACCTGGAATTGGTTTGTAGTAGAGTTCAAAGTTCAAATTCGACTATTTCAAGAAGGTTGAAGGAATTGTCCCCTAGCAGCAAGTCTTAAAATACCCGATAGTTAGATTGATCTTTTTCCTCCCCAGTCACAGCCGGGATATTTGCATCTGCTGGGGGTGTATGGGGGGGTCGTAGGCCTAGTACTGCATTAATGGATGACATGGCTCTGTAGTTTGCCCTTAAACCAGTGTTCACCAAATTATTTTTCTCGTATTCATAGTAGGAATTTTTTGTGCACTAATGTGCAAGTTAATTTCCCTTGTCATGATTAGTTAGTTACTCAAAGCTTCAATTAATAATGATTTCATTCTGCAGCAGTTTGAAGAACTTCTTGCAGTTACCATGGGAGCAATCAGTATTTTCTATTGCTCTATCTCCAAACCAAGTATCTTGGAGAGAAAGATGAAGAATCTTTTCTACATAAAATGCCTCGGTAGATCTGTTAAAGCCCACTGCAGGATTGTTTCGTGCTAATACCTATGAAACGGCATCCGCAGTGACTTCTCTAAGTCCGCTGAGACTAAAATGGAACAGCAACAAAGTTTGTGGCAATAAACACGAACATAAATTTAGGCTTCTTGGAACTGTCTTGACACATTGTAACTAGTGGAAACTAGTCTTGAACTTAATTGTTGTTTCAGCTCACACCTACACTTAGTATAAATACAGAGGTTCATCTCTTCCTCTCGCAACAGGGCTCTGAACCAAAGATTGCAGTTAGTCAAGGTCTTCTCCCAGACTGCTCGGGGTGTTCTGCTGCTGTGCACTGAAATCAGAACTATCCGTAAAGAATAGAAAGATTAACTGACTTACCTTGGAAAAATGGAACTGCAGATTGAATATGTTCCTACAGGAGAAATCATCCGCGTGGTTGGCTGCAATGGAGAACGCAAGACTGTAAGCCTGGTTTTTATGGTTCTTTTTTCCCTTCTTATGTCTGTTACATGATAACCAGCTTAGTCACCATTGTTCCGAACTGTGAAATGCTAGTGCAAAAATACAAGGCTTCTGCAAGGCTGGGTGGTTGTTGGAGTGACTGTAGCTGTGTTGTGAACAGTTTTCTCTCATTAGAATGAAATTAGTAGCAATGGATGTTAATATTAAGTGGCTGGGAGTTTAGCAAATTATCAGAGTATATTTTTCTGTAGAAGTACTTCAGTGTACCACAGTTGGTGTGAGTTGCAGTTGGTGTATTGGCCTGGCCGTATTCATTCAATCAGAATTGTGGAAGCACTTTAAAACAACAAAGGAAGGGAAAAAGCTTTGAAGAGAGTATTTTGATCCTCTTCAGTATTGATCGTCTGTGTCTCCCCTGGATTTGTGCCCTGAATGTAACGGGAAGGTTCACAGATCAGAAGTTCAGTGGTAGAGGACCATATTAACAGGCTGTGATTAATGTCTCGAGGAACTGAGTATTCTGCTAACTTGTGACTTTTATTGAGCTGGGTTCAGGGTTTGTATGTAAGCAAATGGAAAATCCATGAGCTAATTATTTCTGGTTTGACATGTTAGATGTAAACAGTTAAAAAGACACAGAACTTTTCTAAGAATAATTTCAATTTTCAGTAGTTGGAATGAATGGCCAATCTGTGTTTTGCTTCAGAATGATTTCTAACTGGATTCTAACTTGCTAATTAAGAGTCTAAAGAGAAGGAACTGTGTAAAAACTGTTTTAATTCCTCCTTATGTTTAAATGTACCTAAACGCAACTGTGAATTTATAGCTCTCTGTCATAGGTAGTTATAAACTGTTGAACAGATCTTCAGCTCTGGTAGCAGATTGCCCTGGGCAGAGCCATCTTGTGCTGAGGTACATCTGTGCATGCTGCTCCAGTTTCCTCACATAGTCTTTCTAGTAAGTAATCTGAAACTCGATCTGAAAATTAGCTAAAACACTGCGGGGGTTACACAATCGTTCGCTAGAGTCATTCCACTTGAGAAAAACCTGAGAGCTCTCTCTGCCTTGTCGGGAGATGAGAGGGTGGCAATTCTGGTATTCTTTGGTTTCCAATAAATGGTCCAGGAATGTTACTTGGCTTACTTGTAGTGACAGTAGAGGACACTGGCGGGACTGAATTGTCTTTCCCAGAGGGATCTGTTCCTTTAAACCTCACCCCGAATAGCATGTGCCAGGACCCTGGGGGAGACATCAGAGAAAAGCTATTAGTTCAGCTTTCTAAAAAGTTTAAAATACTCATTAACGGTCCATAAAACTGCAATTTGCTCCTCTGAGAACAGCAGTCTGTGTTTGTCGAGTACTGTCGGTGCTGCGGGGAGAGCCAGAGAAAAGCGGTTTCCGATGTGCTGTGCTCGAACAGAAGCTCGAGGTTGGAGAGGCGTTAAACTGCCGCGGGAGCGGAGAGGCAGAGCTTTGCCGTGTCAGCTCCGGGCGCCTCGCGCTAGGAACGATAAAAATCGTAAGCAGAATTTCCTCCGGCTCCAGACAGGTGCGGCTGCAACTGTCAGCACCGGGGACGCCAACCGGATCGGTCGAGT